TGTCTCGGCCGGGCGGTGGTAGCGCACACCTTTAATCCCAGCACTCGGGAGGCAGAGCCAGGTGGATCTCTGTGAGTTCGAGGCCAGCCTGGGCTACAGTGCGAGTTCCAGGAAGGGCACCAAGCTACACAGAGAAACCCTGTCTGGAAAAACCAATCAATCAATCAATCAATCAATCAATCAATCAATAAATAAATAAATAAATAAATATTGTCTCCTGTACCTCAGACAGTACAGAGGTGCAGGTTTCAGCTGAGGGCGGATAGACTACCTCTTGAATTTATAAGCACTTAGTGGGACAGACACAGCTTTCCCAATTCCTGTTCCGTTTTGTTTGCAACAATGCCCAAATACACCAGCTTCCTTAGATTCTCTAAGGCATTGCTGTGTCAGTGGGAACATTTGTGATGCATGAGGTTCTATGATGAAGCCTCTGAGAAAGCTTGAGTTCCCTGGCAAAGTTTTAAAGTGGGGTTCCTAAAGATGAGGGGAACCTTTCAAAAGGAGGAAGAGACTTCTAGACTCACTTTTGCACAGTTGTTTATAACGGAAGCCTAGTGGTCCAACCTCTGTGTCCAAACCAGCATCCTGGTTTCAGGATCAAAATGGGATTCAGCCCATTTTGACCCTCCCTGAAACCAAGTAACAGCTAAAGCAGTCCCGGGATTCTTCTTACGCAACCCAAACTGAGGCTGAGACCTGTTCCCTAGGACTGACAAAAAGTACTCAAAGCTCCTTAACCTTTAAGGGTGTAGCCTCTTACTGCTTCAATAAAGAGAAAAAAGGTAGCTGGATAGGGGGCAGGGGCATGCCTTTAATCCCAGAGGCAGAGGCAGGCAGATTTCTGAGTTGGAGGACAGACAGGCTTACACAGAGAAACCCTGCCTTGAAGAGAGAGGAGAGAGCTGAGTGCCTGCACCTTAGGAGTTATTCTGCCCAGAGAGGGCAGGTTATCAAGAGCACCTGGTTCAGTGTATCCAAGCATGCGGATCTCTGCGTGGTACCCACACCAGCAGCAATAGCCTAAGAAATTGTGAGGATGCCAATCTAACCTTGTACAGACTCTAAGAAATCATATTCTCCCAGGGCTGGGCTCAGCTTCCACAGTGTGTGTCTATGTGTGCACATGTATGTCAAAGCCGGAAATCAACATCAGACGGCTTTCCGTTACTAGTAACAGTCTGTTACTAGAATGCTGGGCTCATCAATTAGGCTAGGCTAACTGACCAGTGAGCTCTAGGGATTGTAGACATATGTCACTGTGCCTGGCTTTTTATGTGGGGGCTGAGGATAAGACTCAAGTCCTCGTTGGAGTCGAACAAACACAACTAACTGAGCTATCTCCCAGCCCCCACCAGCCGCCCCAGCTTTAACAGACATCTGGGAGACTTGGACACGGCAGAGCTTTAAGAACCCTTGCCCCACTTTATAACTGCAAAGCCTGACAACTTCCTCACACAAGACCGAGGCGTCAGTGGGCGAGGGGTATCGCAGGAGTGTCTGCTGCTGGTGTCACAGGCAAAGGAATACCTTCAAACATGAAGGATTCATTGAGCGTACCGTGGACCACGCCGGACTGAGGTGGCACAGTTCCTTAGGACTGGCGAGAGCCTGCAGGTAAAGGAAACAACTCGAGAGCTGAGGCTGGAATACAAGAAATTTGAGTCTCTTTGGGCCTCCTTAGAGATGCTCCGTGGGGCATAACTCAGCCTTGGCAGTCCAGAAAGGCCCCTGCTTCTTTCTCTAAGGGAGCCATCCACTTGAGTATGCATGAGGTTCTGTGCGCTCTCAGTGGAACACGCAGAAAGCATATGGTCCTGAGACCACGTGACCACAAGCCAGCCCACGTTCAAACTTGAAGACTTGAACCTATGTCAGAGAGAAGCCCACAGGAGCTAGACCCCACACCTTTCAGGGTCTGAATGCCATCTACCAGCTGCCTGTGTTGGGGTGAATAACCCAGGGATTCCTGTGTAAGAATACTCCTGCCACTTTCAACTCATCACCTCTTCTGAAGTACCTCCTGTAAAGTCAGTGACGGAAAATGAAGGTGTAAAGACCCCACTCTACCTCAGAATGGCAACAGCAGAGCTTTTTTGGTCTGAGAGGCTGGCGTCACTAAACCTCAAGCAGCTCCATATCCGAGGGGTACAAGAGAACAGCCCATCATACAAGGCCTGAGAATCAGCTTTTGTAGCTGTTGAGTAAGGAGGTGGCGGGCTTGGTGAAGCCAGGCCCATGGACTGCTCTTTGTGTAAACTGTTTTTTAAAACTCTGGGGTGGGAAATAATTCATATCATCTGTTTTCTGCAACCTCTGTGCTCCGGGGTGGCTGACAGGTTGGCTGCTTTCTGGAATTCCATGATCAGCAAATTTCTTGAAGCCTTGAACCTGTTTCATGAACCTTTTTGTGTGTGGGGGGGGGAGTCTTTTACTTCTTTTTGCTACAACTTTCCACACCCCCAGATCACTAGCTCCCCTTGCCTTCTATTTTTGTTATTTTTGTCGTCCTCCCCCTTCCCCCCCCCCGGAGCTGAGGACCGAACCCAGGGCCTTGCACTTGCAAGGCAAGCTCTCTACCACTGGCTAAACCCCCAATCCCACCTAACCTTCTATTTGTAGCCTCCACCTGCAGCCTGGATCCTAGGACTCAACTCTCCGAACTCCTTTAGTATCACCCAAGGACAACATATGCCACTCTTGCTATTACTAGCCCTTTAGAAAGTAGAATTCAAGGGCATTTGCTCTGCCATCTTTGCCAGGCTCCCCTGGCAACCAGTAGAGCAGACCTATCCTTAGAGTCAGGCAGGGCTATACTGTTAGGAATCAGAAAACACCCTCACAGCCAGAGTTGATGCTAGCACCCAAAATGCCTTCCTCCCTTAGACCATAGCCTAGCATGTGTCTGGGGCAATCTAGAAAAGGAATAAGCTAGAAAGGACAGTGGCCCACCAGGGAGGTGGCAAATACAGTTAAAACTCCTCCGTCATAGCCTTCCCAAACTCATCACTGCGTTGACTGTAGTCCCATCCCACAGGTTTTGTTATATAGCCTGTGTTACTACAAAGGCTGAAGATGACATCTCATGCCCAACTCCATTCTTTTTCTTTTCTTTTTGTTGTTTTGTTTTTTCCAGACAGGGTTTCTCTGTGTAGCCCTGGCTGTCCTGGAACTCACTCTGTAGACCAGGCTAGGCTCGAACTCACAGAGATCCGCCTGCCTCTGCTTCTCAAGTGTTGTGATTAAAGAATTTCATTCTTTGGGAGACGGAGGATTCAGCCAGCATTTCTCATCAGTTCTTGAAGCCTAGGACAGGGGAATGACTATAGACCAAGGAGCAAAGCCTTGACAACATCCTCTGAACCTGGTAACCAAGCTGATGATAGTCTCATTTTACAGAAAAGTCTGCATGACTCAGCAAGGAAGCAGGTGTCAGGGAAACTGGACCAGATTCCTTCCAGTGCCTGGGCCTGCTCAAATCCCCTCCCTTGCCTGAGGCCCTTGGAGTTGAAGGAAGAGCAGTGTATTTATTAGTCAGCGTTCTCTAGAGTAACAGAACTTATAGAATGAATATATCGTTTTCTCTTTCATATATGTATATATACAAACATATATATATGATTTATTAAAATGACCTCCAGCTAATCCAATAGTGATTAGCTATCAATGGAAAGTCCAAGAATCCAGTAGTTGCTCAGTCCATGAGGCCAGATGTCTCAGCTGATCTTCAGTCTACACTGGAATCCTGCAGAAGTGGGTTAAAATGCCAGTGGAGGAGTGAATCTGCGGGTAAGGTCAAAGCAAGCAGGCAAAGAGCAAAGCTTCCTCCTTCCATGTCCTTATATGGGCAGGCTCCCAGCAGAAGGCATGGTGGCCCAGATTAGATCTGGACTAAAGGTGTGTCTTCCTACCTCAAAGATCCAGTTAGTAGATCTTTCCACTTCAAACTAAGCAGAAATCTCTCACAGGTGTGCCCTCCATTTGGGGGTTTTAGTAAATTCCAGATGTAGTCAAGTTGACCGAGAACAGCCATCACAAGCATCAACACTAGACAATGTCTGCTTTAGACCAATGTGAGGAAGGAACTGATCACAAGCTGATCTAGTGGAGAGCTACGTTTTGGTTGCAATCTCTGCATCCAAGGATGAAGCTCAACAGGGTCACCTTGTTGGCCAACAGGGATAGGCCTTTGTCTCCCAGAAGCACCAGCAACTGCACTTGGCTAGCTAAATGAATGCAAGGTTTATGACATTTCTGAAAAAAAAAAAAATCAATGCTGGTTTTAGAATCTTATCTGGTCCTCCCCAAACATGATTTCCTAGGCTTCCGCTTCCTGTTTAACAGTCCACCCCCTCCTCACAGTAACTCTCACGCTCACTCTGGCCTAAAGCCTGAGGGCTTTGGTGCCTGAGATCTACTGTAAAAGGATATCTCTTCTCACTGTGTCCTCCTCCCAATCACCTGAATACATCAGAGACTTTACATCCTGACCTGTAGGGAACAGACAGGCCATGGTTTCCCCAGGGGCTCTATACTTAGTTGAGTTTCAGAATTGTCAAGGTCATGCCCACATGGAAGTCAGTTTAAGCCTGAATCAAATATAGGTAACATGGTAGGGACCAGGGAGCAGGGATACAAGAGTGATCCTAAGAACAGCAGGGTTGGCTGTGCCCTCACCAAAATGAAGGCTCTGCAATGGTCAGTGTTCTGTTTTGCGTCGTCCCAGAGCTACTGGAGAAAAGGAGGTGAGATTGACCCTGGGCCATTGAAGCCTCCACACCAGCTCAATCACATCCTGGGCTTGGCAGACTCTTATCTGTACTTGGGTCCCATCAGGGTGTCAGGTGGCAAACACCAGTTTGCAGGCAGGAACAGTGCCAGCAGCTGTGGTTCCGGCTCTAGCCTCAGGCTTGATTCGGCATCTGTCACTAGGGTTCTCTTGGGGCACAACGGGGTCAGTGTCTCCCAGATTCCCACTGACTGTTAAAATTTAAATCCCTGTGGAGTAGAAAGGAGGCAGATCTTAAAGGTGGTCTGCAAAGAGGAAGGTAGCTATATAGAAACAAGAGTCCCTCTCCCCAAGGCTTTAGCAAAAGCTGTTCGTATGTTCAGGAGGGATGCACATGAGTCGTTTTTCTTTCTTTCTTTCTTTCTTTCTTTTTCTTTTTGTTTTGTTTTTCGAGACAGGGTTTCTCTGTGTAGCTTTGCGCCTTTCCTGGATCTCGCTCTGTAGACCAGGTTGGGGTTCCAACCTCATCCCAGTACCTATCATAGTTAGGCTTTCTACTGGTTTAAGAAAACACCATGACAAGAGCAACTTTGGGAAGAAAAGCTTTATTTCATCTTACAGCTTGTAGTCCATCACCCAGGAAAGCCAAGGCAGGAACCTGAAGGCAGGAAATGTGTAAAAACAAAAAGTGTGCCTCTTTATTTTATCCCACAGGACCCGGCCCCTTCGCAGGGTGTAAGCAGCTAGTGTCCAGAGACAATAAATTGTGTGTTTGTGTCTGTGTGTGAGTGCCTGGGGGAAATCTGGGGACATCCTCTCTATCCTACCTCCACAGTCAGCACAGGGTTACAGTACTACTGCACACATTGATAAAACTAACATCTCTCGGCTGCCCCATTCTTTTTTTTTTTTTTTTTAAAGAATTATTTATTTATTATGTATACAGTGTTCTGTCTGCATGTATCCCTGCGGGCCAGAAG